TTTTTAGATTGACTTTTTAATTATATAATTATAAACAGTGGCTGTAATCCAAAAAAATAAAATAAAATAAAAAGGAAAATATTTTTGGTAGCTGAAATATCAGTCCTTCACTAACATTTAGGTTTTTCTTGAATATTGTGATTTTGGCAACATTTTACAATATGGTTCTTTTTTTTAACATCAGTCAATCATTTATGTTAATTTCTACATTTACTAATACATTTTTAACATTAAGTGGTTAACAACATTAATGTATGTTTTATGAACAACATAAAATAATGAACTGTAGTGTATTTATAAATTAACTTTAATCTAGATTAATAGATGCTGTGTAAAATGTTAGTTATCGTTAGTTTATGATAGAGCAAAAGTGAATCTTATTGTAAAGTGTTACCATGATTTGTAGTGATGTGAATCATTTAGCACAGTTTTTATTTCTTTTCTTTTTTCTTTTTGTTAATTTGAATGCTTGTAAACAGTCAACTTGTGTTGATTTAAACTATTACGTTTTTTATAGATCTAGTGACAAATGAATTTCATATAAACACATTTACTGAAGCAGTTACAGAAGTTGTTACTTTCTGCTTCTATTAGAGTGCACACTAGGTCATGTGTTGCGATTTATAAAACATTTATTTGACTAAAAATGCCACAGGCAGTGAAACAAATTTCTGTTTCGCATTAATGAAATAATACAATGGCTTTACAGGTTTGAGTGCTGCTGTGTTATTTTATCTTCATCCAGTGTTGCGTGCCATCAGGGATATTTCTGTGAGTTCACACCAACTCCAATCTGACTAAACTGTATGTAAGGAGTAATGTTCAGCCAGGTGGATGTTATCGCAGACGCAGAATAAACCCCGTTATCCTGCGATAACAACCGGCTGAATGTTTATTATCCTGCTTATTCCAGGGCGACTTGCCACATAAGTAAATAATTAGACACCAATATTGATTTGAGTTGAAATACTTTATTCGCTTTTAAACGCAACGCTTCCACAAAGAAAAACAGTTCCTAACAAACAGCATTGAGTCTAGACGACGGTTTTATTTGACAGTAAATACAGTCAATGACTGAGGTGCAAGATGGCAGCTGTGTTTGAATGAACTGAGAGAGAGTGCAGTGGTGTGATAGGAAAGATGTGAGAGAAGCCAGATAAGTGGTGTGTTATTCGGCATTGCTAATTACGACGGATGTTATTGGGGATAACACAACTTGGAATGTTGTGACTGACCAATCAGAATTTTCATAAAGACTCTCGGCACATTATTTGTTCACATTTTATACGTGAAACAAATCAATGATTTTCACTCTGAGTCTAATGCCAAATTTCTGATTCTGAATGAATTCTTTTAGCATGCACACTTTCACAGAAATTGACCTAGCTCCGAATAACAAAGGTTGTGTTCCAAATGACTCACTATGCACTATGCACTATGCACTTATTCTATGCACTCAACTGTCTAGTGTATGAATTTTATGAGGTTATTTTGTCATTCACCATCAGAGTCTGATGGCCCCTTATCCTCCAGTAGCCTATGAATTAAAGCTGTGTCCAACATTCCACACTTCGTTTTTCAGTGAAGTGCATCATCTGGGTATTTGAAGTGCAATTTGGAATTTTCAGTGAGAACACTAATCACACTGTTTATACTGAAAATTGGTTTAGAACAGAGCAGGGGTGGCCAAAATAGGTCCTGGAGAGCCACAGTCCTCCCCCCCAACCCTAGTCACACCTGAACAAGCTAATCAAGGTCTAAGGGTTACTAGAAAGCTACAGGCAGGTGAGTTTTATCAAAGTTGGCGCAAAACTCTGCAGGACTGTGGCTCTCCAGGACTGAAGTTGGCCTCACCTGTGCAAAATTTGGGACACACCAAAATTGATCAGTCATAGTAGTATATGGATGTATTGATATGTAGTGATACTTTGGGTTTGGTAAGATACCAGCCCCTGGAACTTATTAATCGGCCATTGTTTTGAATATGCCTTTTTATTTCTTTATTTTAAGTGGTTGTTTTTTTATGGTTTTGATTTTTTGCTTTTTTCTTTGTTTCGTTTTATGCCTTTTGTTTTGTTTTGTTCTGTTTTTTTGTGTTTTTTTTACATCTTGTTTTTGTTTTATTTTGGTTTTGATTTGTTTTACTGTCTTTAGTTTTGTTCTGTTTTTGTTGTTTTTTGCTTTGTTGTATGTCTTTTGTTTTGCTCTGTTTTTGTTTTGTTTTGTTCTTTTTCCCTTGTTTTTTGTTGTCTTTTGTTTTTTTTATTTGTTTTTTGTTCTGTTTTGTTTTTGGTTTGTTATGTCTTTTGTTTTTTGTTCTGTTTTATTTTTTAATCCATGGATTTGATTTTTAATCTGTGAATTCATGCAGTGTGCTGGGTTCTGGGATTGGTAATAATACATACTCCAGGCAATAGTGTCAAAGGTGTTTTCCTGCTTGAAAACGCTGTGTTCTGTTTTCAGGTGCAGATTTGGCTGGTAAGGGCTGGAAGGAGAGCCTGTCTGCCAGCTACAGCAGCTCTACCAGTGGGAACTGGAGCTGGGATGCCAGCGACCAATCGGTGCCATCTACGCCATCACCGCCCCTCTCCAACGATGCCGGCAAGAGCTTCCTGCTTTCCTCCCAGAGTGATGACAACATTGAGGAAACCGAGAGTACACACTTCCTGTTTGAAGACCCCATCCCCCGAAAAAGAAAGGTAGGGGTGTCAAGTCATGGCATATGAGAAAGCAGTTCGACTGGTTAGTTTTTGTGCACAAAAGTGGCTTGACTCTTCAGTGAATTTGCAGATTTCTGCCTTCAATAATTGAAGAGATCTAATAAGCACATCAGTGTGGCCCTGGCCCAATGAGTCTTGTCACCCTCGCACCTCAGAAAATGATGGCATGTTTTTGCTCTCTCTCTTTTGTTGTCTCTTCTTTTGTTTCTTTTCTGTTTTTTGTAGTGTGGAATCACTCCAGAATGTGAATGTGGTTTCAATGTCAGGAAGCCATTAGCCTTTCTGCTCATTCACCTTGTTTTGGGAGAGGCCAAGGATGTGTGTGTGTGGATGAGGGGGGGTTCTGTTATAGATCCACTTGGGCTTATCCTTTCACAGTGCTACACACGCTTTAACACACGTTTTTTCATGCAATTCCCAATTGCACAATATTGTATACACAGATTCTGTCACGACTACACGCTTCTCCCTGAAGAAAGGAGAAAACTGAAATATGTTTACTCAGATGTTTTTTTTTTTTTACTGAATATTTCTCAATTCTGATTTTGCAATTCCAGATATTGGACAGAGAAATGAAGAAGGCAGAAACAGGACAGAAAAACTTTCCTTAAGTGATATCAGACATTTAAAAAGATTCTTCTAGTTTCAGCTGTACTGAAATCTTCTGATTAAAACTACAAAAGTATTGTTTATTTAAAAGAAGTGTATTGACCCCACATTTTTTGAATAGTAGTGTACAAAAATCTCATTTACAGCAAGGCACTATGGTAATCAATGGAGCATGGCATTGCATTGCAATAAATGTTTACAAAAAGACTTGTTAATGTTAATAATATAAGACTGCTTACTAAACTTATCTGTGCAAAGTTATATCCAATCTTTCAATTCCTCTCATGACCATGCAAAGTTTGTAAACCACGTAACTTTGCAAGGTATGCCAAGATACCATCACTCAAGTCACAGAAATGATCATAACACATAACTGGAGGTTGATCCACCTAGAACAGTAGTTCTGCTAATTAACACAAGATTTTACAGCTCTACAACTCCACAACTTTACTTTCAACTTGAAAACTCAAATAACACACATGGTTTGTAGTGAAAACTTAATTTGATTAAAGGTGATGTATGTAATTTATTAAAGCGTAATAATACCA